AGGTGGGAGCATTTGCACCCTGCATCCTCGAAGGCATCCACAACTTTGCAGGTGGCACACAGGTGCGAGCAAAGGGCATGACTAAGCTTTAAGGAACAAAAACGATTCGTTTTTTTGTGGCTCTTGTGTCTTTTCCTAAAAAGAAAGGAAGGAAGTTCCTTGGTGAACATTGCTCCCTAGAGATAACTGTATGTCACCGAGTCTGGTGTCTGGCCAGCCTGGGGCACCCCGTACCTAATCCCATGGGTGAACCCAGCATGCCAGCCTCTCCCCGCTTCCTGCCCCCCCCCCATGCAACAGAGCCACGCACTCAGGGTCAGGGTGCCCCCCCTCCTCCTCAGCCGACAGGATTCTGAAAAGCATCTTAAATCAAATGATATATTGAAACACCAAGAGAGCAAAGGCTCTGAAAGAAGCTTATAATTAGGACGGTGGTATAATTTATTGCCTGCGCTGGGACGTCTCTGGGAGTGGAAAAAGGGGGCATAAATAATTAGCTGGGACAACAGGCATAAATAGGGCTGCGGCACATGCGGTTGACAGGTGAGCCATTCAGTTACCTAGTTACTGGTACTTTTATGGACAAGAGTGATTCCATGCCCATTTAAATAGTGTTATATGACTCTAGATATTATCTCTTATTTAAAAAAATCATTTATCTGAACCTGGAGAGCCACTATTAATAATATGGAAAAACAAATGCAATTTTGCATCAATAAACAAAATCAAAAGTGCCGTGAATCATAGAGGAGCATAGACTTGTTTGCAGAAGACACATCACGCCGCCCGCCCCACCGCCTCACGCTTTCTGGTCGTTTAAGAAGGCAGAGTTGATGGCAAAGTTGCATGGAAGCCGGGGCTCAGAATGGGGTGTAAGAAGAACACTGTTCTGGTGTGCATCGTCTTTCTCGATAATTGGGCTGAGTAGTACTTAGCAAGTCCCCTCCTAGTACTTGTACTTAGCAAGTACAGAGCAAGTTGCTTTGGAGTCGAAGAATACGGCTCAGCCGTAGCCAATGTTGACAGTGCGTGCAAATGACTGGGGGTTAGGGAGTAAGTACGGTGACAAACAGCGGTGGGTCAGGTAGTCCACGGTCTCCATTGTCCCAGCGGCATGGTGCTCTTGACTGGGATATCTAGGGTCGCTCGCCTTTTCAAAAAGGGCGAGCAAGAGAGATGTCTGGAATAGCTAAGCTTGCGATCTTCCCGGGCTGTGAGTGGCTCGTGTGTCCAGCGGGAGGCGAAATGGAAGAGAAGCCCACGGGTTGGCTGAAAGCAAGCGTCTGAAGCTATCTCGAGAGCTGTTGATATTTACTCTTTAAAACTGGCATTCTCGGAACTTGAAAAGATAATGAGGTACCTGGGATTTCTAACGGGATTTGATTATTTGCAGTGACAGGAGCTCCCCCCCCGCAATCCCACCCGTACGGAAGTATCTGGGGCAGGTTGAAGAGGCTCACGAAGAATGATGCCCAGTGACCTAGTGTGGTGAGTTAATGGGCATCCAGATGAGCGGCTCCTTCGTGAAAGGAATCCTCCAACCATTGCTAGTATCTGGCTACAGGGCCAAAAAACCCAGCATGAATGTAGCAGTGACCATTTCAGGAAAAAAGGTGGCCCCGCTGAATGAACGCTTAGGCCTTGCCCCTTGGCTCTTATGGGGTTTCCCGTAAGTTTCCCCACACAAGAGCCAAGGGGCAAAGCCTAAGCATTCAAAAAGAATTTCTCGACCAACTGTTGTTAACCTGAAATACAGAAGGTTATATACACAGTATCAAATCCAAGTATGGGATAATTCAAATAGTTTGCCGCATCGTTTTTTAAGTATTTATTTATTTCTTTATTTTGAGAAACAGAGAGCAAGCAGGGGAGGGGCAGAGAGAGAGAGAGAGGGAGACAGAGAGAATCCCAAACAGGGATGCGGGGCTTGAACTCACGAACCGTGTGATCATGACCTGAGCCGAAGCCAAAAGCTGGTGAACCACCCAGGCGCCCCCTGTTGTATCATTTTTAGTCAAAGCTTTATCTTTGTGGCTTTTTAGAGATTCCATTCTCAAACCAGAGGATTCATTAAGGAGAAATCTCTGGGAATTGTAATTTTCCTTTAATTAGGGTTTTTCATGGGCTAAATTACCAATTTCTTCCAGTTTTTACCTTCTGATTCCAGATTTCAGATATCCAGCTTATGCTAAACGACATGTTTCAGAGAAGTTTTGCCCCCATAATTAATTATTCTATCACCCTTTATAAGTTACTGCCATGTATAAAATGTGATATACTTGGAAATGCATACACACACACACACACACACACGTGTGTGTGTGTGTGTGTGTGTGTGTGTGTGTGTATATATATATCCTGGGAAATGTTTAAAACTTCCTCCAACATTGACATTTGCATGATACCAAAATGCATTTTCAGATATCTTATTGAAAATGCTGTCCCTCTCACATTCTATTTTGCACCATACTGTTAAAATGGGTTGCAGAGACACAGAAACTTAAAATCAGTATTTGAATAGAAACAAAACAAATGTTCATCAACTGCTGAATGGATAACAAAATGTGGTGTATTCGTGCCATGGAATATTACTCAGCCATTAAAGGGATGAGCCGTGAAGACAAGGCAAAGTGAAACAAGCTGGGCACAAAAGCCACATAGCGTGTGTTCCGACGTGTATTCCCATCCTGGATGGTCAAATCCAGAGAAACAGAAAGGAGGTGGGTCGTCACCCAGGGTTGGGGTCGGGGCGAAAGACGGCTACTGGGTACACGGTTTCTGTCTGGAGTGATGAAAATGCTCTAAAATAGGGTTTCGTGATGGTTTCCCAACTCTGTGAACATACCCATAGCTGGTGAATAGGGTTGTATATTTTATTTTTCTATTAAGTCTAAAATTTTAATTCCAGCGTAGTTAACATACAGTGTCATACTAGTTTCAGGGGTACAAAGTAGTGACTCAACACTTCCCTAAGCACCCGGTGCTCATCCCCAGTGCATCCTTGATCCCCGTCACCTGTTTCCCCATCCCCCACCCCCTCCCCTCTGGAAACCATCCGTGTGTTCTCTGTAGTTAGGAATCTATTTCTTGCTTTGACTCTCAGAGTTGTAGATTTCCAAAGGGTGGATTTCATGGTATGTGAATCCCATCTCACGGAAGACTTTGTTTCGCCCACGGGAGGCACTGATGGGCGGAGGACAGACTGGGAGAGGGGAGGAAGACAGAATTAGGTATTTCCTGCTTTGCTATCTCGGGCAGGTGGGGTTTTCAGCAGCCCCTGACTCTCCCCCAAGCCCCATCTCCCACTTGACAGGCCCTTTGTCGTTCTAGCTCCACTGGGTGATCCTGGGATCCAGTGACCTCACTTCCTTCCTGCGTCCTTCCATCCAGGAAACGCGCTGGGAACTAGCAATGGAACAGTAGAAACAGATACTGCCCTACGCACGCGGGACTTAACGGTCTAATGGATCAGTGTCATCACATTTAAAATTAAAATCCCGAGGGGCGCCTGGGTGGCTCGGTCAGTTAAGGGTCCCACTTCGGCTCAGGTCATAATCTCATGGTCCGTGAGTTCGAGCCCCGCGTCGGGCTCTGTGCTGACCGCTCAGAGCCTGGAGCCTGTTTCTGATTCTGTGTCTCCCTCTCTCTCTGCCCCTCCCCTGTTCACGCTCTGTCTCTCCCTGTCTCAAAAATAAATAAACGTTAAAAAAATTTTTTTTAAATTAAAATCCCAGTGGATGTGGTGCTCAAATGGCACCTGTGGTCATGCCGTCCTTTAACATTAAAACAAGAGGAGGACGGTCCCTTCTCCACGGTCTCGGGCACCTCCAGCACCCCCAGGTGTTCGCAAAACCCCAGGGGGTTTGTGCCCGTGTTCTAGAAGCCAGGGTCTCCACCATCTCTCGTATCTGAGCCCCCAGGCTGTCTTACTGTTGCTCTGCTCTAGATCGGGATCCGGCAATGTTTCCATCGCTCCCTGCCCTCCACCCCCAAATCCACCGGAGTCACGTCCATGTTACGCAAACTTGAGCAGAGCTTTGAGCAGCCCACGCCCCACCCCCACCCCCGCCTTCGGCTCAGAACGTCCTCTTCTGCCCCCAGTTCAGAGGCCTTCAGCTTCACTGCTGTCGTACCCTTGAGATATCCTTGACGGGCGGGTGGCAGGGTCTCACTTCCCACTGATTTCTCCATCCAGAAAGACTCCCCCGCCCCCACACACAGAACAAGAAGTGATGTCACCAACGCCCAGCTCCGCGCGGCAGAGTTTGGTGAGAACGCTAAGAACCTGCTGAAGTTTGGCAGTTATCACCCTCTGGACCTCCTGGGATTCGGCCCCTGTGATGCTCCCTGGCACGAACTCATGAACACACAACCCCCAATTCCGCTGAGATTACCCATGAAGGAGACGTTTCACGTGTGGACTTGGGAGTATCTTGACGATACTCAGATTTCATAAACAATCTATTTCGTTACCTTCCACACTGCTTGGCCTACTAAATCATTTGCAGCCAGCAGCCCTGACAAATCGAGGAACTTTCTGAAACAAAACGGTCAACATCCCATCTGTCGTGTATTCACTCTTGCCTAGGTGGAAGTCCAGAATGTACTTTTGTACTGTTTTCTTGCAAACAATCCATAATTCATAATTAACACCGCCTCGGAATACGACAAAGTGCTTGTTGCTGGCGAGTGGAATTGTTGGCGTGAATACAAAGCAAATTTTTTTTTTTTCCCCCTCTAATTACAGGTGTTGGTTTTCTTGTTTCCTGGGCGCTGGTTTCCAGAGCCATGGAATTGCTGATGGCAATTTGATACGGGAAAAGAATGAAAAGCTATCCCATGATGGGTGGAGGATACAGTTTAGAGAAATAAATGAAACGTGTGATTAAGTCATGGAGAGCTACAGGGAGAATTCATGTTGCTTAATTCAGCAAAAAAAAAGAAGAGTTTGTGCTCTGTGGTGTGGTGATTGGTGGCAATGTAACTTATGGGAAATAACGTAAAATCTGCATGTTTATTTTGCGCATACGGGCAGGTAAATTGGAAGTTCGGGCAAATCCACAAGTTCCTAAGTTTTTTGCGGCTGTCTTGAGTACACGCGTCCAACCTTCCCTTCCAATGAGTCTGGCAGCCAGCCGGGGTGATAAGCAGGAACATAGCAGCAGGTGCAATGCTGTGAGAGGCCCCGACGCGCTCCCGGAAGGGGACGCTCCACATCCTTGAAGAGAAGTGGGAACATCTCCCAAGTTTTGACTGTCAAAGGAAAACATTTACTTAAGCTTCAGAGAAGGTGACAAGCATCCCATTAGGAAACCGGTGCCCCTACAACCAATATTCCACGTTAGAAAACAGAATATTGACTTCTAACATTTTGTTTGAAGAAATAGAGTCATTCGGGAATAACTACACCCAACACGGTTTCGTGTTTAGAAGCTATGGCATGCTCCGGCCAGGTGATTCTTCAGATCTGGGGAACAGGACAATTTTAACACGCATACAAGTGGTATCACCACTCAACAGACCATTTTTGAAGCACCTGTGAATACTGCGATCAGTATTGTATTTCTTTAAAAAAAGGCACCAAAACGACTCTCTCATTAAATGTATTAGTTCCAGCGTTCCTGGGAACAAACGTGAGGCTGGGATCAGCCCTGACTTCCCGGGTCACCGTGAGCTGTGGCATCATTCCTGTGCAGCCGTGTCCCCAGCTGGCCCCCCTGAGAGCTGCGTCCCAAGAGCTGCAGGGCCAGGGCGGAGGCTGGGGCTGAGAACCCACCCACTGGCTGGCGGGTTGTGCTCCACGAAGCTCACTCACCCTGTACACTCGGAGGCGCCCTCTTCTCCATCGTCCTCTCTACCTGGTGGGGAGGGAGGCTGTCCTTCCTCACTCCCTGATGGAGGAGGAAGGTTTCGCTCCAGAGATGATGAGGCCGCCGGGGGCTCCAGGCTTCTGTCTGTGGGCTCCCTTGCACTGCTGTGTGCTCACAGATGCCAGAGCCCATCCGCATGAGCAAACATCGGACACGCCTACCTCCACCCCACTTCCTGGTACTGAACCCTGCCCCCCCACCAGCCTTCCAGTCCATCATCGGTGGATTCCTTCCAATATCAGGCCCACCAAACTCTAACGGAGGCCCAAAACATGCCATTCTTTTTTTCTTTACCCGACGGGTTGATTTTTTTTATTTAATGGTGAAAGGCCAATACGAGATTATAGAAACTGGGCTGTATCTCCAAGGCTCACATTCTCTGAATTAATACTTTAAAAACATTCTTTTACCGTTTATTTATTTTTCAGAGACACAGCATGAGCAGGGCAGGGGCAGAGAGAGCGGGGGACCCAGAATCCGAAGCAGGCTCCAGGCTCCGAGCCGTCAGCACAGAGCCCGACGCGGGGCTCGAACTCCCGAACCGGGAGATCATGACCTGAGCCGAAGTCGGACGCTCAACCGACTGAGCCACCCGGGCGCCCCTCTGAATTAATACTTTTTAACACATGACAATAATTTTTACGTGCTTGTGCTAGCTATGTATATAATTCTGCCACTTAGCTATTGATTCACAGCGTATCAATAAAAGCGTTGCTGAGTTTACTGCATGTTGCCTCGCTGCTGGAAGTTCCTACACGGCACTCTTAAAAATCCATCTAAAAAATGCAACATGTAGCCAGACATCCAGATGGTTGCTCCCAATGTTCCATCCCAGGGTGAAGATATCTGCAAATACCCCAGACGTTTGCACATTGCCAGCACCAGCAACTGAAGCGGCCTGGGATTGCTCATGACACGTTTTCCCCGAGTCCCCCGGATTTCATCAAGACGGCCATTGCCTTTCCGCCTAACTGCTCCCTATGGTGGCTTTCCTTCCTTTCTTTTCTTTCTGGTCCTTCTTTCTTTTGGAAACAAGATAGCAATCGCCGTAGAAGTAAGATAAAAGCGGAGTTTCTAAATATAAAGGGCAAGTTTTGGGGAAACAAAAGCAAGGCTATATAGCTTTAGAGAAAAAAGGCTAAAGCCGATGGAGTGAAACAGGGGGTGACTTCAGAAAATGCAAAGAGTGGCTGTAAAATAGGGCTTGGCTGGCTTATCATTCACGAGGGTAGATCAACCGTATTGAAAGCGCAACGTCCCCTTGCGGTCTTCTCTTTCTCATAGACCAGAGGCTGAAACAAAAAGGGGAGGGAGAGACGGAAGGAAGGGAAGGAGGGAGGAAGGGAGGAGGGAGGGAGGAAGGAAAGAAGAAGGGAAGGAGGGAAGAGAGGAAGGAGTGAAGAAAGAGGAAGAATATATATAAGTCTGAGATCTCTGCTGCTTTAGAATGCTGCGGACGGACCCTGAGTTCGTTCATTCAGACAGAATCTTTCACAAAACCGGCCAGGGGTGTGTGGCAAAGGTGGGGGGCCGGTGCAGGGTGGTCCTCTCCCTCCCTCCCAAATGGCTCCTGCCATCACTTTGGATCGATCTTCCCCATAAGGCATAAATCCAGAAGGACAAAGAGAGAGGAGACTTCAGCAGCAAAAAAAATTTTGGAAGGTAAGCTAAACCATACCCCCACAGGGAAAGGCCGAGCCGCAACGGGTTTATTCCAAAGCGGCCCCCAAAGGTCCAGGAATCCGAGGCACCAGGTGTCTCTGGGGCAGCTGCACACGCAGGGTCAACAACAGAGCTGGGCTCCGGAAGCTTGGTCCTGTCTAGGGCGTGCAGGTGGGAGGTGCGCTCTCCACGATGCAGGCAGAACAGGTGATTTCTTCCTGCAGAGGCCAAAACGGGAAGCTCAGGGCCCCTGAAGGCGAGTATCACAGTTAACAGCAGCGTCGGCCTCCCCAACCCCGAGGAGACAAGGCTCACCTCACCGGCCTGGTTCCAGAGTCACAGTGGCCAGACCACGCCTTCCGGGCAGGTGCTCACAAGCTCCACCCAGCGGCCAGGC